GCATAACAATAATAGCATATAATGCACTTTGCGATACGAACTTCCAAGTCCCTTGGGGAAGACGGGTGAGTTGGAATTATTTTTGCCGATATTCTACTTTCACACACTATCGAACATACAATCTCAATCCCTTTAGACACACATACACAAAACTATGCACAAAGAGGCAATATATCTATGTTTACTCGTGTCATCGTGTAGGAGGGTTGCAATGCAATTACTCGACTGTATGCATGTATGCACACACAATCACCATTCTGATGGTTGTGGGGTTGCAATTTTATCTTGATTGATGAATACTGCTGTTGCGTCGTCAAGCCCAAATCAACTTGATCATCAGCCAAGCCCATGAGCAGTATCTGCTAAATAGTCTTATTGACTCAACAACCTTTGTATTTTTCAAACCTTTCGATAACCCTAGAAACTCGAATGCACACAAACTCCTGGAGCACCAGATGTGTGGATAGGCCAATGGGTGGGATAAATGCGAAATAGTTAATAGGATTACCCCAAACAGGGGGTCGGCTGACTGACAGTCCCGGATTCACATTCACCTTCATTTAGTATCGTCGCAACCAGGCCCGCCTGGGCAACATTTTCCTATCTCCATAAGGCTGGCTTCGAATATCGTCATGATGAAAGGCATCACCATCGTCCCGCCGTTATGCTGACTTCATAGTCATCACACCATTGCACCCAACATAAGAACACATAAACCAATTGCAAACTAAGTCTTGACCTGCAAGTCTGGAAGAATAAAAGACTTGGGGTCGCGAGAGGACTGAATGTATGCGAGGCATGCACATCGTGCGCATGTAAGCACACTTTAATACACACACACACACACACATACACACACACAAGCATAATGAACACGGGATTCTGACCTGGCGCGGATAGTTTGTGAGGCTTGAATAGTCCGAATTAAGTGGTGTGCCAACGTATGCAATCACACAAACTGGCACACGCCCTCACACGTTTGCATCGGCAAGATCCACAAAAGCAAAGTCATTAAAACCAGCCTATAAAAGAACCTAATTCTGGAGCGGCAATGGCCGAAGCGTCGTTGCTACCTACAAAAGAATAGCTCACTTGTTGGAACCATTTGATATGCAGGTCCGTTGCCGCCGTGACGTGGCCCTCGATACGTCTTCTTGCCTCGCCAACTGTAGCAAGTACAATTTGGTAGACTCTCAGGCAAACCAACAACGACCACGGGCCAATCCAGAGGGAGATCAAGAGTGATGCACACACATATACGCACATGCATATACAAATGTATATGTAGTATGAAAAACTACCCCCAAGCGCGTGTGTGCAATCAGGAACGCAAACAGAACTAGACATATATCTGCAATCATTCGCAAAAACACAGATACGCAAAGCTCATATATACACATCTCCACAAGGGTCAGATACGTGTGTGCACGTGGTTGCACGTCAGTTCAGCCAATCGCCAAAAGCACCCATCTCTGAGGTACTGGTTGCACATTGCAAAAGTCGGTGTTTTCGCGAGTCGAATAATTTCCTTCAGTCTGACCAGACTTCTGCTCCTCAAGATACGTAAGAAAAAAACACTTTAGAGGGGTGAATATCGAGGCGGCTGGTAGTAAATACGGACAGCTTTGCGCCCCTGCCACGAACAATTTGATGTTATATACAGTTCTGATAGTTCCGTCTCGTCCTCGACATGTCTGAGTTTCAACGAGCCTTCTTTGAGATCGACACAGACGCTAGTGGCAGCATAACTGTGGAAGAACTGCGCGCCTACATGGAGAAGATGCATTATCGTGAGACATTTGTTACTAAATGGGTCCAGCTTTTCGACCCGGAAAAGACAGGAGAGATCACTTACGAGAGCTATTGTAGTACTTTAGGCCTAATTCCAGCCACCAGACACTCCATCTCGGCCCAAGGAGCGCCGGATACGCCGCAAGCACAATCGCCTAATCTTGCTTCTTCCCTTTCCTCTCAACAAGGACTCGGCCTCGAGACGCAATCCTGTCCTACGACGCTGTCAGCAGCACAGATGAATACGAATGCGAGGTTCGGACCTATGGAGCAAATGACTACAACCCCAAAAGAAAGGTAAATCTTGTCTATTATGTAAGTTGTCAAACTTTGCTGTTAAAAAGCTTGATGAAGAGATTCCTATACCGAGGAATATTGATTGATGCTGCTCCATGAGTAACACTATTTTGGTTCCGATTTAAACGAAATGAACTCTCGGTCGTCATGCAACTTGATAGGCATACTCAGAGATGTTAGCATTCTTTTAAAAATTTCATGATACAAACTCATTTGGAGAATAGATAGATAAATAATAATTTAGTAAGAAGTAGTTTGACCTTGTTTTCGCGATATCCTCATATTAGTAGGAAGACTTATAGGAAAGAACCTAGCCCGGAGTCGATTGTATGCGTGATAATTTCCAGTCGGATCGTGGACGTAGTACTTTCCCAGACGCTTCGCCGGCATCGTGGTTGGCATCGCCAGTGAGTCTTGCCAGTCTTAGCATCACACTACAACTCGTCAAAGGGACAGATAAAGCCGTTAAACAATTGTTCTAACTAACCTTTCATCCTGGGCTAATACCTAATCCCTATATCCTCGTATCACGTCTTCACTATCATAATTTTTTACTTGCTTATTTAAATGTGGTATGGTATGCCCTTTTGAGCCATTAAATTTAATAAATACTGATATTTTCTAAGCATATTCAAACCGAGGCTATTTGACATCGTCGATTGTATTTAGTGAAAACATCTTTGTTTTATCGACGATACCAAAAGAAAATCTGATTTTACAGTTGGCATTTCACATCTGCACTGTTATTTATTGGCACCGCTGTGGTAACGTGTTGCTAATACGCTGTTGACCCTCTATCGAATCCCATTGAGGCGCCTGATGAATGTGGATTTGATTCAACCTTCGTAGAAGCAGGACTAAGTGCACTGCAAAGGTATACTCGAAGATATTCCCATTACGTTATTTCCCACACTGTCTCTGGGAGACTAACATGAGTCTAAAGACCCTGAGTAATTGTTATGGTCAAGCAATTGCTTCATGTACCACGTTTATGGTAAAACAGGCCTACTGTAGGCAACTAGCTCGAGCTCCTATTTAACTCCGTAATACCAAGTCTATTACGTCCTACGCCCTATTCTCTTGTGTGCCAACCCATAAATGTTGGGGTTTTATTTAATTTGATTAGGTTCAATGCAGAACCACAATATTTGTCGGCTGGCACAAGAGAGACTATGGCATATAAAGTCATAGACTTGGTATTAGGGGTAAAAACAGGACAGGCGCGGTGAATGGTTCGAGCCTCATATTAGTCCCCCAGAGGCAGTGTGGGAAATAACGTAATGGGAATATCTTCGAGTATACCTTTGCAGTTCACTTAGTCCTGCTTCTACGAAGGTTGAATCAAATCCACACTCATCAGGCGCCTCAATGGGATTCGATAGAGGGTCAACAGCGTATTAGCAACACGTTACCACAGCCGTGCCAATAAATAACAGTGCAGATGTGATATACCAACTATAAAATCAGATTTTCTTTTGGTATCGTCGATAAAACAAAGATGTTTTCACCAAATACAATCGACGATGTCAAATAGCCTCGGTTTGAATATGCTTAGAAAAAATAAGTATTTATTAAATTTAATGGCATCGTGATGCGCCTACTTACATCGGTGTGTGAAAAACTTCTGTATCAGCCCTCCTTATTTAACTACTTGTGCGTTTGACCAAGCGTGTGTGAGTTTGTACCCGCATAGGTCAGTCTAAGTAACCCAAAGTCATAACTCTGAGTTGTTGAAAGACAGTCCTGGTGAAAATAAATTATACAAAAAAGCATGCATGTTTTGGTCTTAACTAGAAAACACTTTTAGCTTAATTGGGGAGCTGAAAAGGAATATGAAAAGAATATGAATATAGTTAAACTCACCAATGAGTCGTTAAATTGACTCACTTGCAATTTAGTGATCTAAAGCCCTCTCCCTCCTTAAATCTATAAATCAGGCATAAAGAGTTCATATACGAAGAAAAGTTGGGTTTCGAGGAATCTCTTGTTTCATAATTGTTGGGCTTACTTCCATTTCGAGCTATGAAGAAAAGTTGGGTTTCGAGGAATCTCTTGTTTCATAGTTGTTGGGATTACTTCCATTTCGAGTAGGTGAGCTGTGCAAATAAATATGAAGAAAAGTTAGGTTTCGAGGAATCTCTTGTTTCATAATTGTTGAGCTTACTTCCATTTCGAGTGAAAGATTTGGTAAAGAGATTCGAAGATGGGTTCCACCAGAAGACGACGCCGAATTCCTCTTGACCAGCTGTAGATTGGCTTTACTGGAAGATTCATGCTGACGCTGTTTCCGAGGCAAT